CCCCACCCACGGACTTGGGACTCCCCTCCTCGCGCCTCTGCAAGAAACACGACACCCCATCCTGATGTCTCCCACCCCCAGAGGCTTTGACCAGATGTCCCCTCCTCTCCCATGCCCTCTGACACCAGGTCGGTGGCCCACCTGCCTCTTCTGTGTCCCACTGTGGCCTGACCAGCTTCTTTTCCTTTGAGTCCCAGTGTGGACCCTTCCTCCTCCAGAAAGTCTTCCTGACTAACCCCTACACCCCTCTCACCCCAGGGCCTCCTGAAGGATGTCACCACTGCACGGAGCTTAGACGTTTCCATGAAATCTGGACCCTCCACGGGAACCTGGGGTCCGCTGTCCACCGCAGAACCCGCCCCTCACCCAGGGGTCCTGGGGACGCTGTGCAGGTGAGACGGGAAGTGAAGCTGAGGGTTGAGGGGAGAGGGCCCGGCAGGTGGTCAAGAAGGGCACCTATGCCTGCATCAGGCCACCGGGTGCAGATGTAAATGGCAAAGGAGCAAGCCACCTGGGGGGACTCCTTCCCAAAGGAGCAGTGCCTGCCAGGAGCAAGGCTCCCTAGGGCACTGACCCACCCAGACCCGCAAGAGGGCTCCCTTCCTGCCCGCGCAAGCACGCCTGACCGTCCTGCAGCGCCGCCTGCCGGCTGGGGCCCGGCGGCCCCCAAGCACTCGCAGAGCCCGCAGAGAAGGGAAGGGGTGCTCGCGCGGACCTCTCCCCAGTTTTCCCATTCCCCGTCTGGGGTTGCACTGAGGGTCCTGGAATGCCACCCAGAGGCCAGTGGACCCAGGTTTCCACCTCTTTTCTGTGGCCTCCCGGTCATCCTACCCTCCTCCCGGCCACCCTGCACCTTCTACAGACCCGCAAACCTGCGGCTGTCCGCCCCCACGAGCCGCACCTGCTCAGACCCTGCCTGGGCGGCCCGTCCCCCGAGCGCCCCGCCTCTCTGTGTCCCAGTGGGCTGCACACCTGAGCTGCTCCGCCTCCCACCCCTGCCTGCTGGATTTCCCCATAGCACAGAGGCCGCTCCCTCCCGGCCGTGTCCCCACCACCAGCCTCAGGCTAAACCTTTGCTGTGAGGCTTTGCCAACGCTTGCTGAGTGAATTCATCTGTGAACCGATGGAGGGGAGACACGCGTTCTGCAGAGTCCTGCGTGTGCGGCCGGATGAAACACTCATCCTGGCAGGGGCTTTTGTGGGGAGGCCTCAGGGAGATCTGAGGGCGATGGGCAGAGATGTGAACGGACGTGTCCGTTTCCCCATCACTGAGCTGACAAGCACACGGTCTGTGTGTGCGCTTGAGTGTATGATGCCCACGTGCCCACGTGGGGCCCAGGTGAGGCTGTGCAGGTGCTGATCCTGGCACAGAGGCGCTGCTTCCGCCCAGCTCTGGGCTCCTGGGTGCTTGCTGGCGGCGTCTCCGTGGCCTCAGCAATTTGTTCCAGTGATGGAAGGTGACCTACCCTTCCTGACCCTGCTGATCAGCCCCTTCCTGCCCACCTGTGAGCCGGCCTGGGCTGCAGGGCACCCCTACCACAGCCCTCCGGGATTGCTCCCCACCTGCCCCTCCCTGGTGCTCTAGCCCTTGGGCGCAGCTGTCCACCTTCCTGGCCAGGGCCAGCTGCGGTGGCCGTGAGAAGGTGCTGGGGACTATCGGTGGTTGATCAGGGTCAAGGTCAGGTCCCACCAATCTGGGGCCCCTGCGCTCACAGGTCCCAGCCGGGCCCATTGTATGGAGACAATGGCTTCCTGAGCCAGGTTCCTCTGCCGGCCGGAAAGCCATAAAGAGTCTCCACTTTGCCACCGCCCACGTCCCTTTGAAGGGCCTGCGACTTTGGAGCCAGTCCCTTGGCCACTACCCTTTGCCAGCCTGGCTGGGGCCCAGGCCTCCCCAGAGACCAGCCAACCCTATAGGCACGTAGGCACAGAGAGGCGCTGACCGGTCAGGGAAGCTGCTGGCCACACACAGCATGGCCCCCACGTGAAGCCTGAAGCTCGGACTCAGGGGCCCTTCTGGCATCCCCTAAGGGACCAGGGCGCATGCACAGGGTGCTGAGTGTCCTGCTCAAGTGGCAGCTTGGCACCTGGGTGTCGGCAAGCATGTGGTGCTGGGACTGGGGGACACAAGAAGGGCCATCAGTCCTCTTGCAGGGCAGGGGACAGGCAGAGGGTCCTGCCTCCTGCTGGGCAAGTCCTCCCCAAGCCCAGCTGGGACTGGGACACCCCGTTCTCCAGGAGTGTGGCCGCAGGAATTGGGACCAGCCCAGTGGGGGGAAGGGGACCACAATCGGGCTCCCTAGGGCCACAGAAAGCTAGGGGTGCAGTGTCTGGGGGGTCCGCAGGGCCAGGTGGCCACACGTGGAGGGGCCTGGGGCGCTGAGGAGTGTCTGGGAGGCCCCGCAGATTCCTTGGCTCCTGCTGGGCCTCCAGGGCTCTGACGCCTCCTCTTCACGCCTGTCTTTGCCACCTTGCTGGGCGAGGGGGCCCTCAGACCCAAGAAGGGGACAGGGCCAGCGTACGGAAGATGGCAAGTCTATGGCGTGTGTGCGGGGTGGGGGCTCAGCCAGGCCAGCCCTTCAACGATGTGTTAGGGACCTTGACACATTAGATAAAGAGCGCAGTCACTCAGCCACCTCGAGGCTCCTAGTCTTTATTATTTGGGGATGGTAGCATTCCCGGGCGGAGGGGGGGGCGCGCCTCAGTTGAACCTGCTCGTGAAGCCAGGCAAGGGCTGGCCTGGGCGCCTGCCGGGAGCGAGCAGCCAGGGGGCAGGGCTGGGTTGAGGGCAGTGGCGTGGTCAGCCTGTGGGGCCTCATGCCCTGGAGGCTGTGTGTGGCCTGCAGCCCAGGTCCCTGAGTTCGCCCCACCGGGACGCGCGGCCCCGGCCCCGGCCCCGGCCCTGCTCGTGCTGCAGCCGCCCAGAGGCGGACAGGATGCTGGGGGAGGAGGGCAGAGCTGTCGCTGCCACCCAGGCCTGGTCCCGGGAGGGTGGACGGCCCCCAGCAGGAACCCCTGGGGGCCGCCCAGCCCCTCCTCGAGACCCACACTACCCTCAGGCCAGCAGCACTGCTGCCCACCCAGGGGCCTGACCAGTCCAGGGAGCACCTGGGGCTGCAGGAGGGCGCCTGGCGGGAGCAGCTGGGAGGGGGGCTGTGTGGGCACATGAGGCCTGATACGCAGGCTGCCGTCACCACGAAGTCACGGATGACAGTGGCCAGCAGGGGGTGGGAGGCTGGGGCAGAGCACAGCCTCTTGGAGGGACTGCATAGACGTCATGCCCTGGGGACAGAGGGCCCTCCCATCGCGCCAACCTTCCTCCTGCCTGCCCCTCTCTGCCCTCGGGGCTCCTGCCATCTGCCCCGGATGCCTGGGAATGGTCTGTGGAGGGTCCCGCCCGGCAACCCTGAGGGGCCACCCTGCCTGAGAGCCCTGGGTGGGGAGGGGAGTCCCAGACCTCTCCCCCATGCTGTGGCCGCCCGTCTCCCTGCAGCCATCTGGAAGGTGCCCTGTAGTTTTGACTCCAGCTCAGGGATGGACGGGTGCAAGGTCACGCAGCACAGGGTGGGCGGGGGACAAGCAGGTACCACAGACACGCCCTAGGTCTTGGCTGCCCCAATCCCCGCTGTGGGACTGGGTACAGGGCAGGCCCCGTTGCAGGTGCCCTGTGAGGAACACCAGCAAGAGCAGCAGCCTCCCGACCACGGCTAGCACGGGGCGCCCGCCTGCCCCGGCCCGGCCCCCCGCGGTGCGGTGCGTGTGCACGCCCAGGCGGGGACAGGCGTGTACCTGCACACCTGCTAGTGTGCGGTGCCCTGTCCGGGCCGGCACTGGCTCTCACCCGCCGGGCTGCACTGCTGGGCGCTGGGGGGGAAGGCATGATGGGTAAGGGGAGTTGGACTTGGGGGGCTGGGGATGAACAGGCACACTGTTCCCACTGGAGCCTGCCGGGTGCGCCAGCTTGCTGCCTCCCGTCCCCCAGGACGCCCCTGGCCCCAGCAGCAGGCCTCCGGCCCCAGCTATGCAGGCCCAGGGACAGGCACATGCTGGGGGGCTGCCCAGGACCTGTGTGCGTGCCCATGGGTGCATACGTGCTCACAGCGTCCCCCAGCACCCGACAGACAGCTAGTGGGGATCCCCCTGCTCGTCTCAGCACGGCTGCAGTCGCTGGCCGGGCCCCGTGGGCAGCCACCCTAGAGTGGGTGTGGCCAGGCCCCAGCACGCGGGAGGGGGTGGCTGTCGCCTGGGAGGTGACGCAGGCTCCTGAACCCCTCTGGCCTCAGCTGAGATGAGGGTGAAACCGGCACCCACCTGTCCGCAGCGCGGGGACTCAGCAGGGACCCAGCGAGTCACCAGCACCTGCACACCGTGAGGGGGGCACCTGCACGTGGTGGGGGGGAAAGCACCCCAGGAAGGCCCACTGCCAGACACAGCCCCTTGGGGCTTGACCCCAGCCTGGGTCTGACCGCCCACTGACCCTCAGCACCTCAGTGACCCTGACCCTCCGACGCAGGAGTGAGGGCCCTGCCTCTCCCTGGCCCGGGCACCCAGGCCTCCCCAAGCTTTCTGGGTGCAGATCCCTGTCGCCCAGCTAACAGGGACACGTAGGGATGGGGGAGGGGGGAGGTGGTGCTGGCGCCCTGTCCCAGCAGACGACGGAGCAGGTTGTTCTCAGGGTGCCCAGATGTAGGGCGGAGGGGCGCATAGACCTCCGTGTCCCCCGCAAGCCCACTATGGTGGCAGTGGTGACCGCACGCTGCTGGCTACCAGGCCCCAGGTCACGGCCAGGGCCTCACTGTCCTCACACCGTCTCCGGGGACAGGGACAGCAGCTTCGCACAGGCGCTTCCTCTCAGCGTGGTTCTCCCTTCTGTCCCGAGGTGGATGGGGAGCCAACGTCCACTCACCTCCACCTGCCCTGCTGGCCGCCCTGAGTGCCTGTCTCCTCCCTCAGAGCCCCCACGCCCTCCGCACACGCCCACAAAAACCCCATCGCCACCTGGGGGCGCAACACGCCCCGCCCCCCGCGGAAACCTCCTCTGTCCAGCCTTCCAGAGTACGTGTCCCGCCAGAGCTCAGTGGAGGCGGCCCCATCTCCCAGAGGGCCATTCAGTCACCTCCACAGCCACTGCCACACCTCCACCTGGAAGTCCCCAGAGCCGGTCATCCCTGGCTAGGCCCAGACCGCCCTCTGCTCCCCAAATGATGCAGTGAACCCCCCACCCGCCCCCACCAGGAAGCCAGCGCTTGGGGCCGCTCTAAGAGCCACTGTGGCCAGGGCCTCCCTGCCCTGTGGGCCCTCAGGGGCCATGGCCAGGATGGCCCGTGACAGGGACAGACTTGGGGACTCCATATGGCTGCGCACAAGGAGACTGCTCATGAGCCTGAACCATGTCGCCTGAGTCCAGCCTGCCCGCTGCACACTCCTCCCACGCCCACTGGCGGGCGGCCCTGCGGTGGCCTCGCTCCCCCGAGGCAGGCCACGGGCCCAGATGTGGAAGCACAGGCCGCAGCCTCTGTGGGTATCTGCTCAAGTAATGGATCTTTCTGTTTCACTAAACCCACTCTCCTCTCCAGCTTCTGAGGAGCCCCGGGGTCCAGGCTGGCTGCCGGGTCCAAGACCTCAACGTCCTCCCTGCTGCAGACTGCTGCATTGGTGGGGGGGCCTGGCCCAGCCCTGGAGATGGAGGGCTGGGCCCTGGGAAGGCAGTGGGGCCCCCTCTGCCGCTGTAGGGGGCACGGTGGCCAGGTCTAGGGCCTCGAGCGGCAAAAGTATCTGCCCTGCCTCCACGGCCACGTCCAGAGCAGCAACACCCAAACTGAGGCCCTGAAAGTGGTTGTTGGGCCTTCAAGTGATGAGGCCTGGCCCTCGGGGGGAGCCCAGGGCAGCAGAAGCCATCCGGAGCAGGGCGGCCGGGCCTGCAGCCCCCCTGCCTGCCGCCCCCCTGTGGATACGGAGCCAGATCCCAGGTCAGACAAGGGGTGGCTTCAGCTCCAGGCAGCAGCAGAGGGTGTGGGGGCACCACCCAGGGCAGCTGTGCACCCCGGGGACATGGGGCCGATCGTCCTGTCTGCTGAGCCGTGTGGCCGACTCAGTTTGTGGCCGGCGGGGGGCCAGGGGCGGGCCAGGGCCCAGGGTCTGGCTGAAGGCGCAGCTGCAGGCACAGAGCGGCCCTGGCCCCGCAGGGGTGGGGCTGCGCCCTGCTTCTCAGCTCCGGGGAGGCGGGGCCACGGCACCCGGCTCCACAAGGGGCAGAGCCCACGCAACCCTCCACTCGCTCCGCCAAGCGGGCCTCCTCGTGCCTCAGTTTCCTTCCACGGGACAAGACACGTTGGCCCAGATGCTCAGACAGCGGTCCGGTCCCCTGCTGGGCAGAAACACTCCGACGACGTTCCAGATGAGGTCACGACAGCGAGTGCTACGGGGGTGCTGAGTGGCCACGGCGAGGGCCCACCCGAGGCCCCCACCGCCACACGCCACTGGCGGCAGGGCCACGGCTCAGTACCCATCGTCCTCCTCACCGTCACAGCCGTAATCTGTGGAGCAGAGGGGAACCGTGGCCGCCCTGGTGCCTGGCAGAGCGCCGTACAAGGGGGGCCGTGGGGGGGCCCTGCTCCTGCCAGCCGGGCGGCTCCCTGCAACCCAGGGCCCACGGCCTTCACGTGGGCAGAGCCTGTCGGCGAGTGCCAGGCTCGGTGTTCTCGGGACGGACAGAGCCGACCTCCTTCCGCAGAGAAAGACAGAGACTGAAGCTGGCCGGCCTGTGGCACCTGGGCGGCTCAGTGGCTGAGAGCCCAACTTTGGCTCAGGTCACAACCTCGTGGTTTGTGGGTTCGAGGCCCCATCAGGGCCTGCCCTGTGGAGCCTGCTTGTGACTCTCTCCCTCCCTCTGTCCCTCCCTCCCTGGTTCTCTCTCTCAAAAATAAAACAAACACGAAAACCACATTCTGCAGCTGACAGGCCCGAGTTGAGGGCGGTAAGGAGCACAGCTCGTGCCCTTCCGTGCGCGGCAGCCCCGCCCTGCCCCTCACCGCTGCTGCCCAGCATCTGCAGGGCGCTGACGCAGGGCTCCCCGTCGTCCTCGTCGGGGTCGTCCTCGTCGGGGTCGTCCTCGGGGTGGTACGACACGGGCCCGCTCTCCACCAGCACCGCCGTGGGCCTGGTGGGCTCAGCTCCCAGGGCGGGCGGGCTCGGGGGCACGGTCTGTGGGCGAGGGGCACAGGCTCCAGAAGCTGCCTGCCCCGGGGGCTCCCGGCAAGGACCCCTCCCAAGCTTCCAGAGCGGCCAGCGAGGACACCCAGAGCCCCGATCTCCCACGTGGCCCCTCGCCCCCACCTTCAGCCCGCACACACAGCACTGCCCAGAAAGCCTCGCCCTGCGGGCACGCTGTCCGACGACACAGCCTGGCAGCGTGGCCCCCGCACGGCCGGCCCACTCTTCAGATACCCCCGCCGCCACCCACGGGCCTCCCGGCGCCTGAGTCGGCAGCCTGGCTTCTCAGCCACGCACGGCCGCAGTACCGAGGCCCCGGCCGCACCACGTACCTCTCCGACCGCCGCCTTCTTGGCTGGCTGTGCAGACACCATGGGCCTCAACCTAGAAGGAAGCAGAGCGCGGGGGCCTCAGCCCAGGCAGGGCCGCTGGTCGGGGGCAGGGCGCCCCGCCAAGACGCGCGGTCTCTGAGAGCAGCATCGGCCGCTCCTCTGAGAGAGCACAGCGCGCTCTCAGTGCCCAGCCCCGCGCTCACTCTGATGTCACTCTTCCCAGCGGGCCCCGCAGGCCTCAAGCTCGAAGGCTGCCCCGTTCCCTCTGCCCTCCGGCCCCTCCTTCTGCCTTTGCTGGCGGTCAGCAAGTCTGCTGCTGCCTCTGCTGCTGTTCACGTCCGCCCCGTACTGCGCTGCTGGGGCTTCTCCTACGTGAACAAGCGGCTCCAGCCGGTGGTCTGAGCAGGTCACACGTACGCGTGATCCAGACTTGAGAGGGACAGCATGTGTACCCGAGTCCCCATCCCCACAGGCCAGGCGCTGACGTGGGTGAGCAGTGTACCACGGGGAGCAAAGCTGACGTGCTGGGGTGGGAACGGAGCCCTCGGCACAAGCTGGAAATCAGGGTTCTTCTATGAAAGCTTCTCTGTCACGTTGGTAGCAAACGCCAACCTGAGCCAGAACACCACGCAGGCCGACAGAAGGCAGCCCCGGGCCAGCTGCTGCTTGTCCACCCAGCGTCTGGTGAACACAGACCCCAAGTGCGGCTGCCCTGGGGGCTCTGTGGGCCATGGCTCTGGACCAGACTGCGGCCACTGCGGAAGGTGCCTCCTATGAGGCGGCCACAGCCCCGTTCCTTCCTACGGCTGGATGGCTGGGGTGGGGGGGCTGGAGTGGGGTGGCCTACACTGCCCCCCCCCCCGCAGATCCTCCAAACATGGAAGCCGGGGCACCTGCCACACCATCACTCACGATGAACAGAGGAAGGAGAGGAACGCCAAGACTCCCCGCACGACGCGGACCCATCCAGGGTGACAGTGGGGCCCCAAATGAGAAGAGGCAGGTTCCCCTCCCACGGCCTGGCCACTGAAGCCATCCACGCTCAGGGACCCTGCCCCAGGGCTGGTGAGGGTAGCATTCAGAAGGGGCTCACGTGACCAAGCGGCACCCCACCACTGTGGCGCACCAACAAACCTCAGGGCGCCGGGAGCGGGTGCTCAGGCAGCTGACAGGTGGACAGGCCCCGGGAGCGCTCATAGGACGCTTCCATAGGCGCGGTCTCAGGCCGGCAGCCTCCAGGTGGGAGACGGGCGTGTGGCCGTGCCAGCAGAGTCCACGGGCCCCGTTCAGGGTAAGCGAGTCCCACTGAGGTGGGCTCTCCCTCCCCACTGGGAGGCCGGCCCCGTCCACCCACCTGGCTGGAGAAGGGTCATGGTGGTCAGTGGTGTGTGGGATGGCCAGCGGGGAGGCGGGGGTCTGGGCCAAGTGGCCTGGAGGAGGCCCGTGAGTACCTGGGACGCACGCTGCTCCCCTCGGCCCACAGCCCCAGCCTGCCCGCCCTCTCATAGCCCGGACCACAGACGCGCCAGGGCCGACGGGGCACAGCTGGCCCAGGAGATGGGCTCGCCCGCACGCTGTCCACTGGCGGCCAGAGGCAAAGCAGCCCCTGGGCACCGCAGGCAGGGCACCTCGGGCTCTCAGCACAGGGTGTCCTGAGCAGCCGGACAGGGGGGCCCTGTGAGGAGGGCTGCAAAGCTCCTCAGGGCTCACGTCCCCTGGCTGCCTCTTCCAGTCTGGGGGTCCACCGAGCAGGCAGGAGACAGGCTGGGGGCGCCTCCCCAGGCCCTACACCATGACCGGAAGGGGTCACAGGGGTGCTGGGCTGTGGCAGGCTGTGCCAGGCACTTGGGGACCAGGGAGCTGAATCACCAACTTATAGAAAGTGTCACGGGCACTTGGGGGGCTCAGGAAGTAAAGCATCTGATTCTTGATTTCAGCTCAGGTCATGATCTCATGGTTCATGGGTTCAAGCCCGCGTCGGGCTCTGTGCTGACAGCGCAGAGCCTGGAGCCTGTTTCAGATTCTGTGTCTCCCTCTCTCTCTGCCCCTCCCCTGCTCACGTTGTCTCTCTCTCTCTCTCTCTCTCTCTCAGAAATAAATAAAACATTAAAAAATAAATAAAATAGTAAAAATAAACAAACAAACAAACAAACAAACGCATCTCCGGGCTGGCTGGCTTAGTCGCTGGAACGCACGACTCTTGCTCTCCGGGCCGTGAGTTCAAGCTCCATGCCCGTGCAGATGTTTCTTAAATAAACAAAGCTTAAAAAAAAAAGTATCACAGAAACCTTGAAAAACATTTCCTCCCACTTGAGACAAAAATGTACTCAAAATGTTATTACTTCTCTGATGAATTAGAGTTAACGTCTGGTAGTAACAGAAAGGGGGGGGGGATGTAGGGGGCGGGGCGGGGGAGTGTGGCCACCCCACCCCCACAGGCTGACCCTGCTCACCCCCTCAGCGGGCATGCTCTCTGCTCTGGGTCCTGCCCTCTCCGCAGAGAGAGGCCTGCGGCTGGAGCGGGGGGTGCAGAGGGCCCCTCCTGGGAGGACAGGCTGGCTCACCTGCTCCTTGGACAGAAAGCACCCTGAGGCCACAAGCCCCTTTCCAGGGCTGCGGCCCCTCGTCGCCCCGGCCCTGCATGCAAACATGAACACACAGGGCGGCGGCTGCCATGTGGGGCAGACGTTTGCCCCCAGCATTCAAGTGCCAAATGCCCGCCCAGGCCTCCCCCTGCTCAGGACCAACACCCAGCTCGCTGGGCACAGCACCTCTTCCCCACGCTGGTCACGGGGTCGGCCCGGTGCCTCCTGGCAGGCGTTTTCCTCCGAGACAGCTTCCGGGAGCTGGTCCGCTCCTCGGGCCGCGCGTCCCCCTCGGGCAGACCGCCCGCGCCCTTGCTGTTGAGGTCCCGGAGCACGCTGTAGTTGATCTTGCTGGAGATTTTCTTCTGTTCCAGCATCTTTTCGATGGCCTCCCCCGCTGTGCTGGCCTGGATCGGCTCCCGGCGCTTACAGGACTTCTTGGGCTCAATGGAAACAGGAGAGTCACCACCCCTGGGGACCCTGATGCCCAGGAACCTGCTAGGTGCTGCATGGGATGTGGGGGCATGGCTGGCGGGACACCGGCAGGTGGGGGGGCTCAGCAAACAGTCCCCTGAGGACCCCAGCCCACGGGAGCTGAGGCGTGCAGGGCCCTGGCTCCCTCCCGCTCTCAGACAGGCAGCTCACCATCAGCTGGGGGCAGACCTCGGGGCAAGTGGCCCACCAGCACCCCCCCACACACACCTGAACGGGGCAGAGCATGGTATCCCTGAGCTCGAGGCATCCCCCAGCAGGGACAGACCTCGTCCTGGGTGCTGGACCACGTACAGGGGCCCACCTGTGCCTCCTGCCAGCCTCTCCCCACCACGCTGCTGGGGCCCCAAACCCTGAGCCCAGGCTTCAGGGCCACCCCCGGCCTCCTTCACTCCCTGCCCCAGAAAGGTGCTCCCCACCCAGCCACATGAGCAGCAAGCCACGTCACTGTGACCGCCAACAGGAAGGGCAGCATGACAAGCAGGTTCCCCCAGGTCACAGACATGGGACCTCTGGTGTCACCAGAGGTCACAAGGTCCTGACTCAGCCGGCCTAGGATCTTCCCCAAAGCCAAAGGGCACATCTGTCCGTCCGAGGGGAGGCCAGCACAGTCAGGACTGGGCAGCCAGGGCCATAGGTCAGTGCCGCCCCCTGGGAGCCCTGGAGTGACTTGGGGGGGCAAGGCCGGCCTGTGCACCGGACACCCCTACCTTGTGCTCCTTGTAGATGCCGAGCTCCTTTTCCTTTGCTATTCTTGCTTCTTTCTCTGAAAAGTCCCCAAATGGCAGGATCAGCACGGGCCCCGTGGTCCCGGCTCCCGGGCAGGCGGGCGGGCGCTTACCCCTCTGCTCCCGCAGGTACTCCGCGTTCTCCCGCATCCACAGCTCGGCCTTTACGCGGGCTTCCGCCTCATTCAGGATGTACTGGGCAGAACACGGCACCACACTCAGGTCTCAGCCACAAACACCCTTCCTGCTCGTATACACCGGTCGGGGCTGGATCTGACCCACGAGGCTATAGGCTCACTGGGGGGACCAACCCGGGACCCTGTCGTCCTGCACCCTCTCCATGGCCAACAGCGGGGGTGCAGACGCCAGGCCACACTTCAGGGACCCAGGTCCCTGAGAAGGAACTGAGCTGAGGGCAAGGTGCCCTCCTGGGAAGTGACGAGGGTCCCAGGGTGTCTGGTGGCCCAATGTGGGGACCCCCCACCCACTGGAGGGCAGGGTGGAGTGGCCAGCACAGCCCACGTGTCCCTTGGGGGCAGAGCCTGCACTCACACTCACCCTGTCAATCTCCAAGTCGTCGATGCCACTGAGGTCCAGCTCGCCGTCTCCACAGGCGTCCGCTACAGGGAAACAGCACCAGTGTCACTCAGGGCCGAGTTCTGGTGAGCGAGCGCGCATGGCGCCGGGCTGTCTCAGGACTCAGGGCTCTGGCCAGGGGTGTATGGGAGCCCTCGTGGCCAGCAGCGCCGGCCCTGCTCCGTGTGCAGCGTGCAGCTCTCACCATGGTGCCGTGTGCACCACAGAGCCGGGGTGGCCCCACCAGTCCTCGTGGGGACAGCAGCATCCTCAGGGGCAGCCGGGAGTCCTCAGTGTACACACTCAGGATGTCTCCAAGCCCCGCCAACCACCCCTCCTGCCCCAGCTGGGTCAACAGCACAGTCTGCACGGCCCACAGAATGGGGCAGCCCCTGCTCTCTGCGGCCCCGATCACCAGATGGTCTTCTGCTGAGTCCTCTGGATTCCACCCACACCCCGCGGGCCACACTGTTGCTCTGGGCTGAGGCCCTGTGCGGACTGGCCCTGGCATCAGACGCGCTGCTCACACCCCCCCCCTCTGCCTCGCTGCCAGCTTCCTTAGCTCCTGTGGGAACGGCCTCTTCCTGCCTCGGGGCCTTTGCACAGGCCATCGCGGCACAACCTGCATGTCCTTAACTAATGGTGGGGCTCAGTCTGTGTCACTGCCCCTCTCGCCCTGGATGTCACATCAGGGCAGGCATGTGCCTGCCCGTCACCAAGCCTGGCTACAGGCTGCGTGATAAACGTCTGAGCACCACAGCCCCACGGAGGCTCCTGGCACACACATGGCTGCCCTTGGTGCCCGGAGATGAGGCAGGGCCCACACTCTGCAGCCTGGGGGCACCTGAGGGGGCCTGGCGCGGGGGTAAGACGTGGCAGAACCAGAGGAGCCTGCACCCCTGGCCTCTCCTGGGGCGGGGTGGGGGGGGTGGCGGTGAGGAATGCTCTTGCTCGGCCACCAGCACTGCCAGCACTGGAGCCCAACCAGTAGGGACTGTGCCCTGCGTCAGACAAGAAGGGATGGGTGGGGGACCCAGCCCGCGTCCGTGGAGGGGTTTGGCCAGTACTGAGCCGGCAGGCCAGTGGGGAAGGGATCTGGGGGTGGTGACGAGCCCATGCTGGGGTCACCGATGGCTCTCACAGCGGGCACAGCACCCCTCCCCCAGATGTGAGAGGCGACCTGGACCTGGAATCTATGGGTCACCTCCCCGCCCCCGCCGGGCCCTGGGCACTTACTGGGGTCCTGGCTCTGGGAGGAGATGCACTCTCGGATGGAGTCTGAGATGCCCAGGCTGGCCGCGGTGGGCAGGGGGCCAAGCAGGGACTCCAGGGCAGGGGGCCTGGCGTCCCCCTCGGGGTCTCCGCCCATGTCGGAGCTGCCGGACAAGCCACTGCCGAGGATCTCCTGGTAAAAGTCCTTGTTCAGGTGGCTGGCAGCGGCTTCCAGCTCCTCGTCCTCAGCATCGTCCTCACCGAACACACTGGACGAGGTGTCGTCCACGGAGCCTAGGGACACGACCACACGCACCGCCTGTGAACCGCGTGCAAAGGCAGAGAGCCCCACCTTTGTGCAGAGAAACGTCGCTGTCCGGCTGCAGATGGCAGTTACTTCGTTAACATGAGTAACCAACTGATTAAAGAACGGCTCAAAGACCCGGCTGGTCACGGGGTGGGGGCTGGGCCAACATCCACACGCCTAGAACGGCCCTCGGCCTTTGTCTCACGTTAGTGCACAAATTCACTCAAGATAAACATAACAACTAAAAACACAAGGTTTTTTTTTTTTCTTAAATGGAGAAAAATACCCGTGACTTTAAATTCGGCAAAACTTCCTAGTCACATCTAGGAAGCGACTCGGGAAGCAATCCGCAAAACATCAGTAACTTCAATGGCCTCAAACTCGAGAATGCGGCCATCCCGCGAACAACTCGTGTCGGAGTGAGAAAACACGCAGCCACTCAGGACTGGGCCGCAGCCTCTGTGAGCGCCCTCACCCGCCCCAGGCCGTGAGTGGCGTCAGGAAGCGGCTCTCAATCCCGGTGGGGCACACGTGGCGGCCCCCCAAAGACGGGAGCACATGCTCCTTGGCGCTCGCCTGGGAAAAGAGGAGGTAAACGTCCACGCAGTCACCTGCGCGCAAACGTTCTCGGCCCTGCGTGTGCGACAACCCAAACCTAGAAAACACTGCACACGTGCGGTGGCCTGGGCCGGGCCAACAACCGGGTGTGCGTCGGGCCTGCCACGCACCACAGGTTGGGGGCCGTGTCCCCAACCCGCACACTCATACAGAGCAGAGCGGCAGAGTCAGGACGCTCCTCCGGACCCCACGGAGGACAAACTCCAGGAAGCACGACCAACTTCCAAAGGCCTGGGGTCTGGGGGCTGACACAGGCCCAGGGAGCGGGGGCTGCCAGGGGCGCTGGTCCGTCTCACCAAACGCCACGTTCTAAATTTGCAGTTTGTTGTACATCAATTATGTCTCGATAAAACTACTAAAAGTCACCAACGACGTGCATAATTCCTTACAAAACTTAAAGTTTACGTTAGACCTTACTCTACGGGCGCCTGGCTAAGCATCCAACTGTGGCTCAGCTCACAGTCTTGCAGTTCGTGAATTCAAGCCCCACATCGGGCTCTCGGCTCTCCGCATAGAGTCCACTTAGATGCTCCGTCTCCCTCTCCCTCTGCACCTCCCCTGCTCGTTCTCTCTCTCAAAATTAAACATTATAAGATTAAAAAAAGGGGGGGGGGCTTGCTCTGGTTTGGAAAGTGTTACAGTTCAAGCTCGCAGTGAGCACCAACTCCCAAGAGAACGTTACGCTCCGACCGATGCCGCTCTTGGGGGAACCATGACGACCTGGAAGCAGGAACGCCGTGCGGGTGACGGCCCTTCCGGATTAATCTGCTGTGCTCTGCCCTGACATCTGCGCGCCCCTGCCCGAGGACCAGGCCCCGGCCACCTGCACTCCCTTCCCGCGGGCTGGGGCGAGGGGGCCGCAGCGCAGAGAATACCACGTGATAAGTCACGAGCTGCTCCTGCTACGGGAGAAAAAGTTTCAGGCTGGGTGACGAGGTGGCGTCCAGTTCTCTGCCGTTCAGAAGAGGAAGACACAGGAAAGGGCCGAGGTAGGGGAGCGGAGCGGCACACGCGGACAGGGCAGGGTGGGCACGCGGCCCCGAGGACAGCCCTTCTGGTCACCCAGAGCCAGGCACCAAACACACTATCCAGTCAGAAAATAGCGGCTGCGGGGGTCGCGCTGGGGGCAGCTGACATTTGCCATCTCTGTCCCTGAGGGGCCACCGGGCAGTGAGTGAAGGTCAGAAAAGGTGCGATGACCCAGCCAGGCCCATGGACCTCCTTCCCCAAGCCCTGGGGCGTCTCTAACCACAGAGCCAGGGAAACCAACCAGAACCAGACTGAACTGTCACAGAAACCTCGGCCTCAGGGAGCAGCGCCAGCCGGAGCCCCCAGCGTCAGGACGGCGTCTGCCGCTCACACTGGCTCACGGGCCCCGCACACAAGCCACCCCAAGCGGTGACCCTGAAGGTCAGGATGCGGGCGAAGCTGGAAGCAGGCGGTCCTGCTCAGCACCGGAAGGTGGCAAGAGAACACACACAGGATGTGCGGGGACCTGGGAACCAGCTAAGACGCCAGAAGACGAGGCTACGCAAAAACATGAGTGAGCAAATCCCACAGAAACAACGAACCAAACGTGTCCTGAGCCCCTGCTCTGCCCGCCTGCTGGACGGTGCCGGGGGCCCAGACGGGGAGGCCCAACCGAGCGCCGTCCAGGGGGCAGCTCACGCTCACAGGGCCCAGGAAGCCCCGCGCTCTCTCCACAGGCCCCGCCAACACCGGGAACCCTCGCTGGCGGCGGAGACGAGATGCGGTGAGAACCAGGCCTGGGCATTTCCTTCACCGGGTGAGGCGGCATCGCGGCCCGGAGCCGCCCCGAGGCCTGCAGGAGGCCATGCCTGCTGCCGCCACCACGACTCACAAGGAAAACGCGGGGACCGAGAGTGCGGCACCGGGAGCCCAGGGTCTTCCTCGCACAACAGCGGTGAAGACGGGGGAGGACACCCCTATGGCAGCAACGGACGGGTATGGGAAAGGCGGCGTGGGGCGGGCCAGAGGGCTCTGAGGTGCGGTGAGGAGGCGGCCCCGGGGAAGAGGAGCAGGCGGTGAACGTGAGTGCCTGGCCCCGGGAGCCAGGGACCTACAGCCGGGGTCCCCACAGCGCCCGGAAGGAAGGCGACGAGGGAAGACCGCGTGCGCACCAGAAGACCCACCCAAGAAGGCGCACGTGCCCCAGGTTGGAAAGAGACGTGCACGTGAGCCACGACGCGGAGGCGGGCGCCCCAGGGAGGCGGAGGAGGCGCAGGCCCGCGGAGGGCGGCGGCAGGACAGGCTGGGGCGAGATCTGGGTGCTGCGCGCGGCTCCCCGAGGCCGGAACCTGGGGGGCAGGGGGCCTGAGAGCAGCTGGACACTGTGCCCGGCACGGGAGGGCCGGGGCCCCTCGGCAGCAGGCAGGGGCGGCCCCGCGAGGCCGCAGGGGACACAGCGGCACTCACCATCTCGAGTCAGGTTGGCGAGGGCCCCCTTCGCCTTCGGCCGGCTGCTCTCTAACTCGTTCTCAATTGCGTCCTGGTAGGTGGATATCTCGCCTGAAGCGGTAAATTAAAAGCGAACCGTGAGCACAAAGCCCGCTGTTCTGAGGAAGCCGAGGGTCCGTGCGGTAAGATCAGCGGCTCACCTTCAACTTCCTCCAGCCTTTTGGACAGCACGTGTTCCAGCTGAAACCAAGCACCCAGCAGCTTCAGCGGAGACAGGCAGGCGTGAGGGACGTACGTGGCGCACACCCCGCCTTGCCTCACAGACCCCAAGGCCCTGCCTGGACCTGCCTCCCCAGGGTCGTCGGGGGCCCTGCAGGCTGCACTTGGGGCAGTGGCCGGGTCCCAGTCCCCCAGGTAAACGTCAACAACGGGGCCCAGAGCAAGGCGGCGCCTGCCCAGGACGCCACGGGAACACCCTGGGAAGGCGTGGGCCCTCCGCCGGGGGAGCTGGCCCTCGGGGCCCCAGCCCTGCCCCACCACCCATCTGTCCACCTCTCCCTGTGAGCCGCGTGGACACAGAACCAGCGTAACCTTCGTAACTAAGCTGCTCAATCCAAAGTCAGAACGCGACACGAGGTCTAGGAAGCGCCTTGAAGGACCCGAGTGCCGGACGGACACGGGGACTCGCCTGCTTCAGGCGCAGCTTCCGCTGCCCGGCTGTGTAGGACGGGGGGTCACACTCCTGCTCCAGATCGATCTTCATGAACTCATCCACGGTCAGCTGACTGGTGGGCGTGTCCTCGAACTCCGTCAGCCTGGGACAAGACAGCCGCCCGCAGACAGGGCCCCTGGAGACAGCCGCCCGCCACCCCGCCGCGCTCGCTGGTCACCAGGCCCTGCTGGCCACCGCCCACAGCGGGACCCTGGGAGGAAAGCCCGTGGCATCCTTGTCGCTCCCACGGGGAGACCCAGAAGGCCCAGAAGGAAGGAGGCCAAGCCGGCAGCCCTAGCTAACTGCTGACTCAAGGTCAGCAAAACATGTTTGTTTTTTTTTTTTTTAATTTTTCATTATTTGAGCGGGGTGGGGAGAGAGATGGAAGGCCAGCAGGGGGGAAGGAGAGAGAGAATCCCAAGCAGGCTCTGCCCTCACCCTGCCCTCAGGGGCTCGATCCCATGGCCAAAATCAAGAGTCAGACGCTTAACCGACTGAGCTCCCCAGGCGCCCCAACCTACAAAACATCCAATAAAAATTTTGAGGGAGTATCTGGGAGCCTCAGTAGGTTAAGTGACCGACTTTGGCTCAGGTCATGATCTCACGGTTCATGGGTTCGAGCCCCGCGTCGGGCTCTGTGCTGCCAGCTCAGAGTCTGGAACCTGCTTCAGATTCTGTGTCTCCCTCTCTCTCTGCCCCTCCCCTGCTCACACTCTCTCAAAAACAAACATTAAAAAAAAATGTTTTTTAAATTTTTTTGAAGAGAACTAGAGATTAAACGAGTAAAATACTTTACTAACTGCCTTTGAAAACTGCCACAGGACACGATCTCCGTTGAAAACTAGCCATCGAATGTTCCAGACTTGTGGTGAGAAGAGGCCCAGTTACAGGTCTGCCGGCAACCGGGCTTTGGGCTCATGACTACCCTGCCATAGCGCACGTGCACCTGAGGCTGAGCTGTGCCACCCCACAAACACCGCACCCCAAAGCGGGAGCTCACGGGCACAGCGGCCCTCGGTTTCAGCCAGGCCTGCCCCGGAGTGGGGGGCCCAGGCACCCGGGCTCCCACAGTCCACCTCAACCTACCTTAGAGAGAAACACGGTCTGGAAGGGGCCCCACAGCAGATGCCGCTGGTGTGGCGCCAGGACTGACCGAGACGCCCAGGAGGGAGGCGGGCGGCCCCCGCCCCTGAAGAGCCCCCCAGAGGCGGCTTTGACCAGCGGGCCTGGCTGGGCCTGACGGCTGAAGTGTCTGCGCCCACCTACCTCTTCCGCAGTGTGGACTCGCACACCTTGACCACGCTGATGACCTCTTTGACGGTTCTCCGGAAATCGTGCATCCTGGCTGCAACCAGAAGTGCTGGAGGGGGCACGACGGGAATCAGGAATCGGGACGGGTGCGTGGCAGCCCAGCACTTGGGCCGATGACCTGCGGCGGGGAGAGCCCTGCCTGGGGGGCCTGCAGGCGCTGCGTCCCCGGCCTCGCCGTGGGGAACGCTTACAGTACGTGACCATCACAGCCTGAGAGCTGCCTCTGCTTTGTGCACAACCACACCGTGATTTATCCACGAAGAAAGAGCTTATCACACACTCCGTCTCTCGCACAAGAAGAATTGAAATCCACCTGAGACCCTCACGTAACCCCTCAAACCAGCGAGCAGACTCTCAGGTGAGTCGAACAGGCACACTGGTTGGCAATGCACATGAGGATTCTGGGGACACAGCCCAGGATCAGGGAGAAAAGGCAGTGGCCCCACGTAGCGCTACAGCCAGGCTGATTCTAGGACAGGCCCTGAGTGCGCCGTGCACTCGGAAATCAGGCTCTGAAACAGGAAACGACCCTGCTGGTAGCTGAGCGCGGACGCAGGCCCTTGGTGTCGGTGACGGGAGAGGAGCTGGTGGGTGTGGGGGCCTGCTGGGGGGGGGGTTCCAGGCCCAGGGGCTACGGCAGACCCTGAGTCAACAAGGAGAGGGCTGCAGGGCCGCCTTCAGGCAGCTGCTGCTTAGAGGGAAAAGCAGACAGCTACCCTCTGGGGGCCGAGGAGTCAGCCTGAGAGGCCCAGACACACTCCGTAGTAAAGACCAGGCAGTGGGGCCGGGGCAGGGCTGGCTGCGTGGCCTTGGGCTCCACGAGCCCTGCCCTGTCCCTGTGACTGACAGTCTGTGCAGGGAGTGGCTGGGAGTCCCCAAGGGCCAAGTTAGCTGTGGAGACAGCCCACCCACAGCCCTCCCACCACCCACGTGCTTGGCCCGCAGAAGTCAGGACAGACACCACCATGGTGGCCAGCGACACGGCCATACCTGCTCCGCAGAGGCCCGAGGGGCGGCGGCCAGTGTGCATCCAGTCCCTCTTCATCCTCTGCAGGAGCCTAAGGGCCGTCATGGACACCTCGTGGTTCTTCTCACCGAACTCCAGCAGGTGGGCAAAGCGGGGGATGTACAGGCACGGGTCTGCAGCGGACACGTGGGCCTCAGTGCTGGCGGGCGTGTGTCCTCGCCTCACTGGGCCTCGTGGCATGTGCGTGTTCCGGTCCGGACAGCACATGAAAACACGACGCAACACCTCCCCCTCAGGGCCACCCTTCCCAGTCCTTCTGCTGCACAGGCTCCCTGGGGTCCCCCACCCCTCGGCCGGGGCCGCTCACCCACGTCCCTCCCACAGCTGCTTCCTGGGGCAGGACGCTAAGCCTGCCCAGGCACCCCAAATGCCCACCTCACCTTGCTGCCCTGTTTGGCGTGTGTCGTGGACTATGACTGAGATACAGTGTGTTTGTCACCTATCTATTTGCTGCGTTTACTCTTATGAAACGTGAGCTACACCTTCTGCTCTTCTGTCTACAGGTGTGTGTGCATCTCTTTAAATAATCACAGAGTCCTTAGTGAGGGAGGGCTCGGAGACACCCGTATATACGTGCACACACACACGCTCTCCCTCGCTGGTGTATGTGCACACACACGCTCTTCCTCGCGCGTGCCCTGCTCTAAGCTACGGGCCAGGAGACTCCTGGCCTAGGCTTAGGAACTTCCGGCCCCCGGGGGCGTGGGGGATCAAGTAACTTGAACTCAGTGGACTACGGCACTGCCATACGTGCACAGGAGTCGCGCAGCGTCCAGGAAAGGACAGCAGAAGCAAGACCACCTTTGGACAGGACCATCCAGGAAGGCCTTGCTCAAGGGCAGCCGTTGCTGAGGCCTGAGGGGACCACAGGCCAGCCAGAAAGCTGTGCCATCAGATGGTGGAGGAAGAGGAAGGGCAGACTGACAAGATCCTGGGACTGGTCAGTGGCACCAGCAGGTGACCCTGGCTGTCCACCAACGCCAGGCACCCTCCTTTGGAGCTCTGGCCTGATCACTTTCCCACCTACCCGCATCTACGGGCCTAGCTGACTGAGCTCTGACCCCTGAAAGCCCCACGAGGGCCTATAGGCACCCCCTTAAGCACCCCCTTGCATCCTCTGCCAGTCCTGGCGCACGTAAGGAAACGCAGAGATTGGCAGCAGGCCTTGAAGCGGTCTGGGTCTCCGAGGCCTGGAGTGACACCTTCCACACGGACCACGACTGCTACTCACCCACCTTTCCAGAGGCCTGGGTGCTGTGCCATCTCTGGAAAGGCGGTCAGTGGTAGCAGCCGCCTCTGTTGGGCACATGGGGCTGGACAGCTGGTGGGGACTCTGGTGACAAAGCACAACCAAGAGGCGCTGCCCGCCAGCTCAGCCCAGGCCCTCCCGCCATCTCCTGGCTCATTTGTCTCCAATCTTTTACAAGCAGTTTTCAACTCAAGTTTCTATGTCAGAAATTAGGGTCAAAGTTTGATCTCTACTTCTGATGTTCTTTTGAAAACACTTCCAATCCTAACAATAACGTTAACTTTTTTTTTAAATGTTTATTTATTGGGGCGCCTGGGTGGCTTAGTCGGTTAAGCGTCTGACTTTCACTTAGGTCATGATCTCGCGGTTCGTGGGTTCGTGCCCCGCGTCGGGCTCTGTGCTGACTGGCAGCTCAGAGCCTGGAGCCTCTTTCAGTCTGTGACTCCCTCTCTCTCTGACCCTCCCCTGCTCTCGCTGTCTCTAAATAAAACATTTAGAAAAAAAAAAAGTTTATTTATTTACGAGAGAGAGAGAGACAGTGTGAGTGGGGGAGGGTCAGAGAGAGAGGGAGACACAGAATCTGAAACAGACTCCAGGCTCTGAGCTGTCAGCACAGAGCCTGATACAGGGCTTGAACCGACGAACCGTGAGATCATGACCTGAGCCGAAGTCGGACGCTTAACTGACTGAGCCACCCAGGTGACCCAAACATTAACTCTTAAAATATATCTTTGCTCGGGGTCCCTGGAGAGCTCAGTCGGTTAAGCATCCCATTTCGGCTCAAGTAGTGATCTCTCAGATTGTGGGTTCCAGCCCCCTGTTAGGCTCTGTATTGACAGCATGGAGCCTACTTTGGATTCTCTGTCCCTCCCTGTCTCTCTGCCCATCACTTGCTCACCCCCCTCCACCACCCACAGTGTGCACACACACTCTGTCTCTCAAAAACATAGACTTAAAAATAAAAAAATGTATTTTTTCTCCAAATAGTCTTCAGCAACCAAATCACAAACCAAACCAAAATGGAGCCCATGGCCAAGTGTGCTGTAGCTCCCGACTGCTCAGGGACGTGGGGGGGGGGGGGCAGGATCAGGACGCTTGAACAGGGGCAGGAAAACAGTTCGGAGGGGAGGTGGAACCTTCTCCCCGGGGTCCAGTGACAAAGGTTGTGAGGCACCGCCAGGCCCAGCACCCGCACTCAAACGGCCGACAGGCAGACTTCAGGACGGAAAGAAGAGCAGCTCACAGAAGCCCAGGGAGCGCGAGAGGGACCAGCGAGGAGCGCCAGGAGGAGACGCTTAAAGCTGACATCCCCCCCAGGTCTCCCCGACCTGAGGCTGGCTTGGGGCAAGGACGCGAGGGGGAGCCGCCCAGTGCACAGCACAAAGCCCCCCAGGGACCCCGAGAGCGGTCGTCCAGGACGGAGAGTGCGAGCTGGCAGGAAGGCCCTGGGTAGGTCCCCAGACCCCGCGTTTAGCGACCAAACAGTTCGCAAGGCAAGTAGGCGGCAAACAACCGTCCACACGTGCGGGCGGACAGCGGGGCTGCCCCAGACAACAGGGGCGCGGCGCGGGGGCAGGACCCACGCAGAAGCGGCACGACCCGGCGCCCCCTCGCCCGCACCCCCGGACGCGCGCCGGCCTCGCTGGGGTGCGGGCGAATACGGCAGGCCGCGCCGGAGGCGTCCGGGAAAGGCGAGCGCGTCAAGCACGCACAACGCAGCGCAACGCAGGCCGACTCCAGCGCGCGGCCCCGGAGACCCGGGCCCCAAGGGCAGACCCCGCGCGCGGAGGGGGCCGCCCCGCCCGCGCCGCCCCAGCCGGCCGCAGCCCGCGGGGGCGGGGCCCAGGCCGCGCGCGCGCGCACGCCGTCCGCGCGGAGGCGGAGCGGCGCGGGGCCGGCGTGACGCGGCGTGACGCGCGGGCGACGCGGCGGCAGGGGCGAGGGCGGGCCGGACGGCGCCCCCTGCGGCCGGGCTGCGGGCTGCGGGCTGCGGGCTGCGGGCCGGCGGGCGGGGCGGGGCGGCCCGAGGCAGCAGCGCCCGCCGCGGCCCCATGCTGCTGCCCCTGGCCTGCCTGCACGGCCGGGTGGCGCAGTGCCTCACGGCGCTCCTGGTGCTCGCAGAGCCGCCCCCCCGGCCCCGGCGCGGCGCCAGGGTGCACGGCGCGCCCCCGTCGCGCCCGGAGGCCGCCCTGCCCGCGAAGATGGCCGCGGAGCTGTACCCGGCCGCCGGCGCCGCGGCCGCCACCGCCACGGACATCGCGAACAGCAACGCCGCCGCCGCCGCCACCGCCGCCGCGGGCAGGAAGGGCCCGCCCAGCGCCCCGCCGCCTGTCCCGCCGCCGCCCGCGCCCGCGCCGCCCGCGCCCGACAACAACAACTTGGAGAGCCCCAACTGGCAGTCCTTCCACCCGACCCTGCGCGAGAGGTGAGCCTGGGCCGCGCCCGCACCCCGCGCCCCTGCCCCCGCCCCCGCCCGAACCCCGAGCCCCGAGCCGTGTGCCTCTGCCCTTTGCAGGAACGCGCTGATGTTCAACAACGAGCTCATGGCTGACGTCCACTTCATCGTGGGGCCCCCGGGAGCGGCCCGCAGGGTGCCCGCCCACAAGGTTGGTAGAGGCTTGGCCCCGTAAGCCCGCAGAGGCGACTGCCCACCGCCTGAGTAGGGGCTGCTGCCCTGTACCCCAGGGGCGGCATCCGCTGCGGGCGGGGAGGGTCCGGGGCTCAGGGCAGCTCCTGTGTCATCCACAGTACGTCTTGGCCGTCGGGAGCTCCGTCTTCTATGCCATGTTTTATGGCGACTTGGCAGAAGTTAAGTCAGAAATCCACATCCCCGACGTGGAGCCCGCAGCTTTCTTAATCTTGTTAAAGTAAGTCTGCTGCACGAGTCTGTGAGAAGGGGGTGGCTTCTTGCTGCCTGGCTGCCGCCAGCTGGCACCCTGCGGCTTCTCACAGGAAGGCCGCACAGACCGATGGGCATGCCCCATGCAGCGTTGTGACCTGGTCCCCACCCCTCCTAGGTACATGTACAGTGACGAGATCGACCTGGAAGCCGACACGGTGCTGGCCACTCTCTACGCTGCCAAGAAGTACATCGTGCCCGCACTAGCTAAAGCCTGTGTCAATTTCCTGGAGACGAGCCTGGAAGCCAAGAACGCCTGTGTCCTCCTGTCCCAGAGCCGGCTGTTTGAGGAGCCCGAGCTGACCCAGCGCTGCTGGGAGGTCATCGATGCTCAGGCGGAGATGGCTCTGAGGTCTGAAGGCTTCTGTGAGATTGACTGGCAGACGCTGGAGATCATCGTGACGCGGGAGGCCCTCAATGCCAAGGAGGCCGTGGTCTTCGAGGCCGTCCTGAGCTGGGCGGAAGCAGAGTGCAAGAGGCAGGGTCTGCCGGCCACCCCGCGCAACAAGAGGCACGTCCTGGGGCCCGTCCTCTACCTGGTCCGGATTCCCACCATGACCCTGGAAGAGTTCGCCAACGGCGCTGCGCAGTCGGACCTCCTGACGCTGGAGGAGACCCACAGCATCTTCCTGTGGTACACGGCGGCCAACAAGCCCCTCCTCAGCTTCCCGCTGACCAAGAGGAAGGGCCTGGCCCCGCAGAGGTGCCACCGTTTCCAGTCCTCCGCCTACCGCAGCAACCAGTGGCGCTACCGCGGGCGCTGCGACAGCATCCAGTTTGCCGTGGACAGAAGGGTGTTTGTGGCCGGGCTGGGCTTGTACGGCTCCAGCTCGGGGAAGGCCGAGTACAGCGTGAAGATCGAGCTGAAGCGGCTGGGCGTGGTCCTGGCGCAGAACCTGACCAAGTTTGTCTCGGACGGCTCCAGCAACACCTTCTCCGTCTGGTTTGAGCACCCCGTGCAGGTCGAGCAGGACACCTTCTACACCGCCAGCGCCGTCCTGGATGGCAGCGAGCTCAGCTACTTTGGGCAGGAAGGCATGACGGAAGTGCAGTGCGGGAAGGTGACCTTCCAGTTCCAGTGCTCCTCGGACAGCACCAACGGGACCGGGGTGCAGGGCGGGCAGATCCCGGAGCTCATCTTCTACGCCTGAGGCGGCGTGGGTGCGCTGCGAGGGGCGCCGGGAGGAGGAAGGGACGTGCAGGAGGCTGTGCCACCCTTTCATCCCCGCCGACTGCCTCGCGGACCTCATTAAAGACCTTGCTGAGTTTGTAGCGCTCTCGTACGCGGTCGGAGCTGTGCCGCACAGCCAGAGCCCTGCCCGCGTTTCTGAGTCTGGGCTGCTGGGCAGCTCTGGGGTCCCGAGACCGGCTTCAGGCCCACTTTAGGCCTACACTTAACCTAAAACCTTCCCTTCAAATCCAAAATTGGAAAAAGCCACCTAAAGTAGTGTTTCTGAATGGGTCCCAGAGTTTCAACAAGATAAAAGCCACTGGCAGGTAAACATCCGAGGGAGCGTTCAGCTGGGCACGCACTTTCCCACGTGTGTGTGGAGATGGACTCCCAGCACAGAGCAAACCCTCCAGTGCTGCTTAGAATCCAACGGCCTCCCTGGCAGGGAGGCAGACAGACTCCCTGTCTGTCCCTGAGTGTGCCCTCTGCTGGCAAGCCTGGCTGCCACCAGGGCGTGCTTGCTGCCTTCTTAGAAGGCTCTGGAAAAGGGCGGGTGTGTGCTAGCGTCTGTACTTCCTAAAACATCGTAGCTTCTCACACAAAGCCCTGCTGTGGAGCTCAGGTTTGCGAGTGGTGGGGTGACGTGGGGCTCTCTGCTGGGTCCACACCTCCAGACCCTGGGGACCAACCTCCTGCCTCGGGCTCAATGGCAGCTTCCATGGCAGGCCCTGGGCCGCCCCCACCCAGGCATGATTTGGGGTCAAGCAGGCTCTTCGGGCTTTTTGCCTCTGTTCTCCTAGGCTACATGCTCTATGCACGGTTGTTTTGTTTCTGAAAAAAATCTTATCCTGACCTCCACAGAGAAGGACCCTGTCATTGGCCACAGGAACGTGGCCTTTTGGGAGAGGGTCTGAGCTGGGAGCAGAAAGCCGAGCTGGGTGTACCTCTGGGTTGACACGCACTGCCCCCCATCCTGCAGCCCTTCTGGCCTCCTGACCCACCCCGCTAGACCCTTCCCAGCCTCCAGGGACCATCCTGTGGGTTACCCAGGACCACGCCCCCAGCCCACCCTGCCCTGCACACCGCGCCTCAATGGGCAAAATCAGGAGCAGGCCCTCCAAGTGGACTGAAAACAGGCCTCCCAGGGAGGCTCCGGTGAAGGCCAAATGTGGCCAGGAAAGCGGCACCCGGTCTGGAGGGGTCCTGGCCTCTGGAGACACCGCCACCAGATGTGCTCCTCACAAGGCAGGCGGGCGGGCCCCCAACACAGCAGCACCTATCTCCCTCTGCGCGCTCACCCACCCCCATGGGGTGCTCTGCTTTTATACCAGGGTGACCCCCAGGCTGTGGGGCTCCTGGCTGCTGGCAGACAGTGTAGCTTACTGCCTGGCGCAGCCGCTGTGACCCCCTCCCTGATGCCCTCTGCCGGCCCCGCCTTACCTATCGCTGGAGCGTTGATGCACAGCTCTCTCGCCAGGAGGAGGAAGGTCTTCCCCAGCACGTAAACGTTCACCTGTCATGAAAAAGCCACTACTGAGAATGGCAATTTAGGAAACATTTTTTTTCTCTTAAAACATGCACTTTGTCGTTGAGTCTGGTGGAGCCCACGTAAGAGCTCTCTGCCAGCCCCCGTGAGCCCACAGTGGCCCAGGGCCCTGCTTCCCAGCCGCAGGCAGCTCTTCCAGGCCCCACCACCGTCTCAGCAGTGACTGGATTTGCTGAGGACAAAAGCTGCCTAAGAGATAGCTGGCAACGCAGAAGCACACAGAGCACGTGGCCTGTGACTCAGTGGTGCGCCGGTGCACTTGGGGCCTGCTGGCCACCACCCACACCCATGCACCCAACAGGCCCAGGGGTCATGGCCTCAGCCCCTCACTGGGAGCAGCTCGGTCGTGGCCGTGGGTCTCTGCAGGTCTTGGTGACATGCTGCCCACTCCCACCTCAAGTCCAAAACCACAGTGGGGCCCACCAACCCCCGGACCCGGCCCTCCAGGGTGACTGAGCCCCGCTGCCCTGGGAGCCTGCCCTGTGCTGGCTGCGCATGTTGTGGGGAGGGGACCTCTAAGGGGGTCTGACTGCAGGCATGGAAGACGTCCGTCAGCTCGGGCAGGGTGCAGAATTGGGAAAAGTGCAGGCTTGGCACCCCCTGCTCCCGCCGCTGGGACTCTCCAGAGTTTCTTTGCCTAATCGTGCCTGGCCGATGAGGGCCCCCTAGCCTGGTGCCCAAGAGGCCACTGGACCCTAAAGAAGAGTCTAGACCCTGGTGTGCAGCACGCCCCTGTCAGCACAGGCAGGTGCCTGTGGCCGTCCGGGAGTGCTAAGGAACGGTACAAAGCCCCCTCGGAGGACATGGAACGTGCCAGCCTGGGCGGACCTGCACTTCACATCCAGGCCTCCTTCTGGGACAAGCCCCCTTCACAGGGCTGGTGGCTCATGGGACGTGCCTTCTGAAGGGTTCTGCTCTCAGCCTGCCCGCCACGGCATGTGTGCCACGTGTCTGTGTGTGCAAACATTCCAAGAGCACCCCAGCCTTTGCCAGGCTCCCCCAAGTTCCGGCATCCTGACCCTCCTGACTTCATGCCTGTCTGGACCAGAGTGGAGCTCACTGTCCCCCGCTGCACCGTCTCCTCCTGCTGCAGCACATCCTTGACCCACCTGCCCCGCTTCACACCTCCTGCCGCCTCCCCGTGTCCCAAGCAGATGAAGACCCGGGTGCTGCAGGGAACAGTCGTCTGAACAGACTTCAAGTGGGAAGTCAAATATTTGGAAGGCTGCACCCATAGAAAGCGTGCAGTCATTGCCAGAGATGCTAACACGCACCGGAATGCGTTAGGAACTCTGAGGAGTCTAGAGCTGGTCTCTGTGAAGGTGGGGTCATGGCTGGGCGTGGCTAGCCAGCCCCTCCCCCAGCCTGTGCACCTGGCACTTGGGCCCTGAGTGTGCCTGTGCAAGCCACGCCTTAGCGGGGGCTGCACAGAGGAGCAGCTCCACCTGGTGGGCGTACAGACAAGCATAGACCCATGTCAGCCCTCGGCAGCTGGAGCCCCCAGTGAGACCCTCACCCGACACGCGTGCTCCACACCCACAGACAGGCACACAAACACGTCCTGTGCGTGCTGCACCCATCCTGGCCCCAGGGAGACCAGGCCCTGGGCCCAGCTGGGGGTGCTGGCCGGCTCCACCCACCCCCACCCAGCACACTGGCCCAGGGGCCAGAGGCACACCCCTCCATCTAGGGCAATAAAAGGTCAAAGCCAACTGTGCAGGTCCAGCGGGCCAACCCAGTAGCTTTCCCTGAGGCCCGGGTCCAGCCTGCATGAGCAAGGACGCACACCCTCCTTTCTGGCCCTGCCCTGGTTTCCCATTTCCAATGGTGTGAAGGAGGAAATTGCCAGAACACAGCCCTGGCCTGTCCAGGCTCTGCCTAAGGGCTTCTGAGCATCCGTCCTGCACCAGCCTCACGGCGTCCTTCGTGGGACGTCCCGGGATGGAAACAGGCCCGTGAGACCTTGGCCCCCCCTGCCTGGGTGCCGCACGTGGAGTGTTACATTTCCATGATCCCAACAGGGCATGGTTAGCTTGGCCCTAGGACGTTTAAGCAGGACTCCTGAGAGATACCATTTATGAAGACAGCTGGGACAGCAAACACACAGGCGGCATCCCGGCTCCATCAGCACTGGGGGGCCCTGGGGCCCCATGTGGGGCACCCGGACCTGACAAAGCTTTCTTCAAAGGCGTGGAATCTGGGAGCACACCACACAAATCCTCACCCCGTGGCCACGTCTGTGTTCCGTGACCCCCCCCATGCCCGCCCCAGCCCCGCCACCTCCCCCTGCCCGGGGCTGCCCCTTGCCCCCCGAGTGTCCCATCCACACAGGTGGATCCTCCGTCATGTTCAGGAGACCAGAAACAAGTGGCACAGCAAGAGATGCTCTCCTGGTGCCCATTCTGACACTGTTTCAGATAGATGTGTGCAAATCCATTTTTTTTCTCTTTTAAAGAATCTCCCTTGCTCAGACCAAGTTCACCTGGGTCTTTCCGCTGGTTCTGAGGCCGAGGCCACCCAGCTCCCAGGCCCACAGGGAGACCCCGTGTCCACTGCCCCCTCCCAGCTCTGAAACAGACCCCACCCTGGCGTGTCCTGGGCCCTGGTCGCAGCCTCTCCTGGGAAAAGGGCTCAGGAAGGAAACCGGTCTACCTGGAGCAGGTCACTGAGGTCCAGGAGCATGTCTGTGGCAGGAGTCAAGGAACACGTGCACCCAAGCCAGGGGCCCCAGTTACCCGACAGCCTCCCAGAGGCACAGAGCAAACACCGGGCCACCGGACCTTGCTGTGAGTCTAAGCTCAGCACGGGATCACAGAGCAGTGAAGCGTCAGCACCAGGGCCGCTCATGGAGACCCCTGTGAACCGCTCCCAGGACAGGGGGGGAGAGGGCCGTGAATGCAGGTCCTCACAGCCCCCACACCCCCTGTGGCACAGCCCAGAAGCATGTGACAACACTCAGTCTGTCCCTCCAGCACCTACTGAGAGCTGGCCAGACACTGTGTGTGGCCTCTGCCCCACGACTCATGGCTCCTGGGGGACAGACACATGGACAGAGGGCCACCCACCCTTGGTGGCTGGCAGGCACCTCCATGGTGCTGGGGCTCGAGGGGACAGCTATGGGGACTGGCATGGGAGCTGTCCTCTCTCTCAGCAGATGATTAAGGAGTAACCAGATTATGTCCTAAGTGATGAAACTCAGCTGGACACATACACAAAAACACAAAACACAAGCCATGGAGGGAGAAATTCATGTCACCCACGGGCCTGCTGTGGTCCGAGAAGATAACTACGAGAAATCCCCAAGGGCTGAGTCAGAGCCCAGCCCAGGCATCAGGAGGGGAACCCTGGACCCAAACGCGTCCCCAATGGCACAGCCTCGCATGAGGTCCCAGACATCCTGCCACCACCTCGGAGGTCCCTGAACAGGAGGCACCCAGTTTCTCAATCTCCGAAAGCACACGCTTCAGCAGGAGACGCCACTGCAGGCCGGGTATGAAGAAGGGCCGAAAGATGGGAGGCCAAGGGGAGGAAAGGAATTCGAGCTACACGAGCGAGTGGGAGTGGTGACCGTGGCACCAGAAACACAAGAAATGAGCCAAGAGGCAGGAACCACGAGACTCCATGTCCACGATGTCGGAAAAGGCAAAGCCCCAGGGACAGTGAAAGCGCCCCTGGCACCGGGGTGGGGGAGGGGTGCACTGGTGGAACACAGGGGCTGTCGGGGCATGAAGCCACCTTGTATGGCGTTAACAGTCGTGGACACGCGGCACCGACCTCACACCCGTTAGACCCACAGAAGGCACCACAGGCACATGACGGGAGCAAGCCCTGGGGTCTTGGGAGGTATGGGCCTCCCGTAATGACAGTGTGACTGGGCCGCCAGCTGTGACTTACGCAGGTGTCCACACACTAACGCAGGTGTTGACAGGGAACTGGGGGGGGGGGGGGGGGGGTCGGAGGCGCACAGGGAACTCTGCACAATTTTTTCTTTAACCTATAACTGCTCTAAAAGTGAAGTCTATTGAAAAGCAATAATAAAATAAAGGCAAAAAGAGGAGTAAAAGTTTTGAACAGACACTGCACGGGGAGGAGCCAAGAGCCAAATCGCACACGAGAAAGAACCTCCAAGAGAAGTGCGAAGTGCCCTCAGCAGCCCCAAACGCAGGTCAGCGTGGGCTGGGGGCAGGGAGGGGCAGAGGGGGCCACCCTTGGAAGGAGGCCTGCAGGCTTCCTCTAAAGTGAACCTGCGCCCGCCTGCGGCCCGCTCCTCCGTGCCTAGGCTCGCTCTCACAACACGAAAGCACGCGTCCACGCAAGGGTTTCGTACCAACAGCCAAGAGGCCAGAAGCGCCCAGACGACCACCACCAGCAGAGCCGTGGCCGGGCGCGCACTCCCACCATGGAGCGGGCACCACAGGGCGGGCCCGAGAGCTTCCCTGGTGACGGAACCTTACAGAAAGGGCCTTCCGTTTACCGATGTCCAGAACAAGCCAAATTAACCTGTGCGAGTCCTCAGTGAGTGCCTCGGGGTGGCAGGGGGCCGGGGGGCTGACCAGGCCAGCAGGGGCACAGGGCAGGTGGTCACATGGCGCATTGCCCTGTGTCCTGCCGCAGACCTGGCTGCAGAGACGCACATGGACAGCTGTCACAACTCCCATGCGTTTTGTTTCGTGCCAGTCTTCCCTCAAAAGGGAAAAAGGGGGAAAAGAAATAGAGACAAACACGGAGATCCAGTCAGTCAATGGCTTCCCAGCGGAAGGGTGTGTTGGGGGGCAGGCAAACACCCGCACCTCCTCTGCCGTGTGCCCAACAGCGCAAGGCCGAGGCATCTGTGACCCCCCAGTAAACCCGGGGGGAAGTGTGTGTCCACAGGAGACTGGACACCAGGTGCATCCAGGTGGACGCGGCACAGGGAGCGTGAGCCACGGGCTTCCCTGGACAGGCGTCCACGTTCCCCTCGTGAGTGCCCTCAGGGCCCGGCCCACAGCAGGTGCCCCCGCTGATGGGCGTTCGGGGGTGTGCTGGTGGCTCTGCTGAGTCCTGTCTGGCCGGCCTGTCTCCAGCGCCTTTGCAGGAGTGGCTTCCCGCCTCCCCGCTCAGGGGCGCCCACACACCCTCCCCCGGCTGGAGCCATAACAGGTCAGCAGGACGGGGTGCAGGAGCCTGTCTGTCTGGCTGCTGGTCCCTGACGCGCTCTGCCCGGTGGTACTTCTGCTCAGGGAGCACCAGCCTGGAGCGCCGCCCTCTCCGAGGTTCGCGAGCACAAGCGGCGTCAGAAGACTGCAGACGTTCCCGAGCATCCACGCGGACCCACAGCAGGTTTGGAGGGTGTGTCCTGAGCGCTCTAGTGCCACGGTGGGGCGGCCCACGCTGGGCCAACGCCCCGGCGCAGGTCTGCCAGGAGAGGGACCAGGGACCACCTGGCTACTTGTGCGGTGCCTCCGCAAGAACAATCAGACGAGGCTTGATTTAAACAGACCCATTTTCAGTAGGTGGAAAAGTTCATAGAGGTTTAAATACAGCAGAACAAAGTCAAAGGACAATGAGACTTCTGTACCCGGCCTCACGTGGGAGGGTTTCCTCAGGGCACCCCAGAGAGAATCGAGAAAAACAGCACTGGCACCCGTCCAGCAGGAGGTCGTGCGCGAGCACAAACACGACACTCCAGCACGAGGCCGCGGAGACGCCCGGGGCCCCGGGGACAGCAGCGCCGTCAGCACCAGGAGCAGAAACATCCACCTCACGGAAGAGGTGCCTGCCCAGCACCACCCCGTCCACGGTCCACCCCCACCCCCTCTGCAGGGCAGCCCTGGCCCCGACTGGTCTCTCCCAGGGAGTTCTTCACCAGCCCGACACACTTCTGCTCAGAGAGGAGCCCACAGCCACACCCCACTAAGGACAAAGGCCACCAGGAACGCCCAACACCCTGTCCCCTCAATAGCTGTGCCTGGAAGAGAGAGAAGCACCCTGCAAGGCTCTGTGGACCTGATCCCTGACATACTGACCCTGACCCCCACACTGACTTGCCCCCCCGACACTGACCCTGCCCCCCCACACTGACCTGCCCCCCCGACACTGACCCTGCCCCCCCACACTGACCTGCCCCCGACACTGACCCTGCCCCCCCGACACTGACCCTGCTCCCCCCACACACTGACCCTGCTCCCCACACACACACTGACCCTGCTCCCCCCACACTGAACCTACTCCCCCCACACTGACCCTGCTCCCCCCACACTCCACTTCCCGGACACAGTGTCCCCAACACAATGCACGGAACCCTAGGGTCAGGACGAGGCTGTGGCTCCTGCTGTGGGCTCTCCCTTGCGCACTCTACTCCCCAAATAACTGACAGGGGCTGCCACCGTCACTCTGCAGGACATTCCCACAGGGTGGAGGTGCCTGCGGCCCACCCTCCATGCCACAGCCGGTGCCAGCTGCCTGCCTGGAAGAGGTGTGGGAAGGACCCAGGGCCAGTTTCCACGCACTGGCACACCAGTGGCCCTGCCTCCCTGACTGCCAGGGAGGTGCCAAGCCCAGGCCCGCTCCCCCGCCCGCCAGGCACCCCTGCCAAGGGTCTCAGCTCCCCGCCACGCTGGGACGGTCCGTCCAGTGCTGGCAGCTCCCGGTTCAAGCACACGTTTATGTCCCGGCCCACGAAGGCCCTGCGGCCAGGGCGCAGGCTCGGCGAGGGGCCGGGCAGCCCAGGCGCGGACGTCGTCTGCACTCCGGCACCCCCCCCCCGCCCCGTGCTCTGTGACTGGGGGCTCTGAGGTCAGCGCACCTGAGGCAGGGGAGCAGCAGCCAGGAGCTGCTGTGGCTGGGAAGAGGCTGAGGGAGAGGGAGACAGGAGCCACAGACTGCACCCTGCTGGCCCTCGAGGGATTCTGTGCCACAGGGAGAGCCACGGGGAGTCCGGGGAAGGAAGGAGCAGGCCCTGACTGAGGTCTCGAAAGGCTCGCCCGCAGGCTGGAGGCAAAGGCACCCAGGGGCCCGGCACGCGGAAGCAGACAGAGTCCATGAGGGGCGAGCGCCAGGCGAGGAGGCGCTGCTCCCTCCCCGGAGACTGCTCTGGGCGATGTCCCCTCCAGAGAAACACACGGGACAGCAGGACAGCGCCCCTCCCGCGGGAAAGAACCGAAAAACCAGATAAAACGCAAGGAGCAACTGGGAGCCACGCCTGTGGGGAGTCCCTCAAAAGGAGGAGGGCCTTGCCCGCAGTCTGTGCTCCCCTTATGGCGCCCGCTGCCCGGGGCAGAGCGCAGAGGCCTGGGGCTCAGGCAGTGCGCCCCGCAGGAAGGCGGACTTAAGTCCAGGCATTTCCAAGAGCAGGCAGCACCGGCAGAGGCGGCCGTAGAAGCGGCCGCACCCCCGACCCCAGGCCCTCTGGGCGGGAGGCAGGCGGCCAGCAGGGCGGGAGGCGAGCACACACCGGGAGTGCAGTTCTGGCCCCGGACCAGCAGCCTTCACTGGAGCAGGTGCACCCCCACACTGCCCGCCTATCCCAGGGCAGGAGACCCCCTCGGGGCAGAAAGTGCCACAGCCCCTCAAGTTGTCAAACACAGCATCTGTTAGTTTATTAGAAACTTGACCAGTAAGACCAATACCCAAAATCAGTAAGAACAGGACCGTCATCGACCCACGGACAGAGCCGTTACAGATCTGCGCGCAGCTACAGCGATGGGTGACGTCACCAAGGACTTAGTCTAACGAGAAGCAGTAATTGAAATTAAGAAATTAATAGAGGAGGGGCGCCTGGGGGCTCAGTCAGTTGAGTGACCGCCTTCAGCTCAGGTCATGATCTCGTGGTTCGAGGGTTCGAGCCCCGCATCGGGCTCTGTGCTGACAGCTCAGAGGCTGGAGCTGCTGCGGATTCTGTGTCTCCCTCTCTCTTTGCCCCTCCCTCCTTGTGCTCTGTCTCTCTCTCAAAAATAAGTAAACATTAAAAACATTTTAAAAAAGGAAGAAAAAAAGAAATTAATAGACGGGTTTAACACCCGGTGAGACACAGCAAAGGAAAGGCTGAGGGAATTCAAAGGTAAGTCACTGAAAAACACTCAGATTAAAACAGACAGAGGAGGAGAACAGAATGCAAAACAGAAGGGAAAATGCAGAACCCATGGCGGGCGTGAGACGCGCATGTGACCAGAGCCCAGGCGGGAAGACAGGAGGCAGGAACACCAGACCCTCCCAGGACGCACAAAGCACGAGGTGCCGCCGATTCTAGAGAGGCCGCACAAACAGCACACTGGACAGAGACATTCCCTACAAGCAGGGGTGACGGGGTGGCTGCCGGAGAACAGAGACAGGAAGACACGGGCGCCCTGACCGGTGGGGGCGGGATGACCAGGGAGGGCCGCAGCGAACAGCTTTCAGAATAAACGTGAGCTGAGGGCGCCCAGGGGGCTCCTCTGGGTAAGCGCCGACTTTGGCTGAGGTCACGATCTCACGGTTCGGGGGTTCGAGCCCCGCGTCGGGCTCTGTGCTGACAGCTCGGAGCCTGGAGCTGCTGCAGGTTCTGCATCTCCCTCTCTCTCTGACCCTCCCCTGCTCATGCTGTCTCTCTCTCTCTCTCTCTCTCTCTCTCTCAGAAATAAGTAAACATTTAAAAAAGTTGTTTCTTAAAGCATACAAAACTCAACTGTACTTGTATGCATGACAAGATGCCATCTAGGTTAGCGCAAAACAGACCCAGTAATAAATCCAACGAGGGACAGAAAAGGCTTCATCATCAAAAATAAAACATCACTACAACAGAAAAACACCTGAAGAGGTAGGGATATCCACTGATGCGAAGATTCAGTACTGTTAAAAGGAATGTCAACTTCAATTTCCCAAATATTGATCCATAAACCCTCAAAAATCCCAGAAGATTTTTCATGGAAACAGGCTGCTTGAGAAGCTCACGCAGAAGAACAGAGGGCCACGCACAGCGCTGGCGCCGAGGCCGCTGAAGCGGGCGGCCTCCTGACGCGGCTCCACAGACTGTTCCAAACCCGTAGCTTCCAGCTGCCCGGTGTGGGCCCAGGACAGGCATGAGGCCCAGAGAAGGGCTCGGAGACGCCAGCGTCGGGCCTCACGCTCTGCGGAGAGAAACCTGGCCCTTTCCTCACAACAGACAGCACAGAGAAGCCAGCGCACAGGAATGCCAAGCTCCGAGGGGACACATAAAACCTAAAGCCTCAGCAAGGGCAGCGGGGGAGTAGTTCACAGTGTGAAACAGACAAAAGCGTCTTAAACAGGCACAAATCGGCCATGAAGGAAAAGAGGCTAAGGTGGCCCTCAGTAAGCGCTCTGCCCACAGAGCGGTCCCACCGCGATGGACGCAGTGGGAGGGGAGGCTACTGGCCTCGACCCAGGACGCACCACGCACGCAGAGCAGGGCAGGACCGCTGGGCCCCACAGTGTGGACGCGCTCTGTGTCCCCTGACGCTGGCAGACAGGACGCACCGGCCAGCGGTCCCCGGGGTGCCAGTGTGCAGTCCGAGGTAAGCCCCAGACGCCAGGGGTGGACATGTTCATCAGTATAACCAACGCACCATCTGGTGGGGGTGTTGGCTCTGGGGGAGGTCGGGGGGCACCTGGGAAATCTCCGTACCTCCCCGTCAATTGCGCTGTGAGCCTACAAGTCGTCTAGAAAAGAGCTGTGTTTTAAAAACATGTTTTTAACTCCTTGGTTGTTCCTGGGGACATGGGGAGGGGCAGAGGGGAGCAGGTAAAGGTGGGCTGGGGAGCCTGTGGCAGAAGGGAGAGTCCCCGACTGTACTTCCCTCTGACTAAAGCAAGAAACGCACACCTCAGCTGAGCATGAGAGGGGGACGCGGGGTGGCCAGAGTCACAGAGTCAGACGAAGCCCAGCCCAGGCCTGTGAGCCAAACCCACAAACCCACTACTAACCAAGCCCCGGGGGTCTGAAGCCTGGCAGAGGAGACGGGTCTACAGGCGGCCGCGTGCAGGACGCAGACAGTCAGCCGCGGGACAACCCGTGCAGACCCGTCCCTCCCACTCAGGCCCCTGCGAGCGGTGACAAGCCCCGAGGGACAGAAGCCTCTGTGTGCACACACAGCTCCGTGGCCAGACCCGGCCACTCACACACAGGCCCGCTGGCAGCTCGGCCGGAGCCCGCTAAGTAGCACAGGCTCTAGCACCCGCTGCGGTAGCAACAGCTCCTGTGGACGCACGTGCGACAAACAAGAGTGCGCGTGTGTCGGGCCCGGCAACCACAGGGGCGGCGGGCTCCGGCCCTCCCGGCTCCGGCCCCCCCGGCCCCGCCCCCCCCCCCCCCCCCCCCCCCCCCCCCCCCCCC